AGGGAAAGGCTGGGTTTATAGCAGTGCTTTCACATGCTCTTAGGAATTTTTCAATTCCTTAAAATCAAGTCCCCAGCCATTCTGCAGTTACCCTGCAGCTTCCTCCTGCTACTCAGCCCACTGACCTGGGACAGCCAGGTTGCATAGGAGCCTTGCACATAGGACCTTTTAAATAAAAATAAAATTCAGAAGAAGCATCACACAGATTTGCTTGAAGTATCAAGCAATCATAAATACAAGGTTGTTGAGAGTAGACCTGCAGCTCTGTTGGCTCCTATTGTTACCATGTTTGGGGGCACAGCTGAGGGAGGGACAGGGTGCCGATGTCTTTTTCTTTAAGCATGTTAATATTGATTTTAGAAGCTCTGTGTTCCAACAATATAAATGCAAATGCCTTGTAATTGGGAGCCGCGTGCAGAATTTCTCAACAGAAAACATGTTCAACTTTTCATGACAATGAAAGGAAAATAAAAAGCTGCTTATTTATTGCTGGTGGCTTGAATCCTGGATTTCCTTTCAAGTTACTTTGCAGTGCTAAATAAAATAGCTAATTGCAGTGCTCACAAAATTCAAATGGGTAAATTTATTCCTCTGGTAGCTTGTGGCTCTTTGCAGCCTCTGGACACCCTCAGCATTGTTTCAGCACATCTGTAACTTCTGGTTGCACTGTAAGGAAAAGCTGGGGGGGAAGACTTAGAATCCCCAAATGCTGCTGGCCTAAATCACTGCTGAGGCTGGAACAGGTACTAAGTGTTGGAAATGGAAGTGGGTGAGGATCTCAAGGTGGCACTTAGAGATGATTGGACTCCAGTAAAAGAAAGGAATTGTCAGTGAACCTCTTCATTTGAATTCCTTTGTGCTCCTCGACTCCACCTTTCCCACCTGGGAAGAAGCAGCAAATGTCCTTGATGGTGGAGATGGAGCTGAGTGTGTTCAGCTCATCGGGCTGCAGTGAAACATGAGAGAGCGCCTGGCTGCCTCCTGCATCACAGTCTGTTGGGGGGTTGTGTGTGTGTGTCTCTAAGTGCTCACCATTTCATAATAATTACTAATGAAATTCTAGATCTGTAATAACATTTTGGAGATCTAAAACAAACCATATGCTTGTAAAAAAAAGAGAGGAAAAAAAGTAGAAACAGATCAACTTTAAGCCATAAATTCTTGGTAATAGAGGCCTCTTTTTTCCCTCCTTTCTGTTTATGTTTGATAGATATTTTTGTTTCTGCAGGAATGTCAACTCTTAATTTCATGATGTATCATGGGCTTAAGAAAATTGAATTTAATAAAGGCAAAAGATGAATGGCACCTTTAAAGGTCCCAACACTTGTCTTTATTAGCAGGACAAACTGCAGGGTCTCCAAACACTGCTTCTCTCCAAATGAAAGTTTAAATGAAAAGTACAGCAGTGTCACAGGTTAAATTTCATTGCAGGACTGGCTAACGTTGTTAGTGAGGAGTGGGGCTGATTTCATGGGGCTGGTATCTGTTGCCTTAGATACCAGTGGAGCAAACACTGCCAGAGACTGGAAAAAAAAATCTCTGCTATAGGAAGCATGCGGACAAACAGCCTGTTGGGAAAGGTCTTTTACCACTTGCTTCAAAAACTGACCAAAGAAGCCCAGAACATTGGCTATGCTTTCTCCTGAGACAATCAATTCAATCCTGGGGTTCTACTGCTGCTCCTGGCCACGTGCTTCCCACAGACCTGCAGTAATTTTGGATATTGTTACATTTTCCACATTTTTTTTAGTGCTGCTTTTTATTTCCTCCGTCTGTCTTAATCCAACCCTCCTGGAAGTGCTTTTTGCCTTTGGTTCTGGAAGGCGAGCAATGCCTTTGTGTATCAGATCAGCAGCAGGGCTGTCTTTCACTCTCTCTTTGCATCCAGTGACTTGATGGCCCCTGAGGATGTTTCTGGTCCCTCAGGACTGCGCTCTGCATGGCAGTGCAGCCCTGCTGTGAAATCCAGCCGGTGCTTGTCTCTCTCCAGCAGTGAGAATGCTTGCCTTGCCCTGCTGTGGGCTTGCCTGCTTCTGTGGTTACCCTCTAGCTTGGGTGCAGATCTGAGGGGCAATTAGTTGGTACAGCTTATTTGAAGGGTGGGGTGGTATTATCCTGGGGTTAAGCCTGGCTCTGTTACAACATCCTGTCCATTGGCTTCAAACTTTTCAGTCCATTTTCTTCCTGAACAGGAGTTTGCGGCTTTCAGAGCCTAGCTGTGTTAGTTGTTTTCAAGGGAGGATCAACTTATCCATAGTTTCTTGTGCAGATTGAGTTTCTCATGTTGCCCTGGATCATCCTGGGTGACTGAAGCTGGTGAGTTTGGCTGCACCACAACAGATGATCTGGTTCTCCTCCCCCTCCATCCCATGCTTGGAGTTTCATCTCTTTTTTGGGGGAAACTTGGTGACTTCTGGTGGGGTGGTACAGCCATGGGGAAGAATGTGCCTGACCATCTGCCCCACTGTGCCTGCATGGCACACTGAATGTAGCACAGTCAGCCTTGGGGGGAACAGTTAAGCAGCTCTGCAGCTTGACTGCTTGGTGTCTACACTTGGGTACCCTAGCACTGTTAACATGATTTTATTTTTAACTTTCCGTCTCAGCAACATGTGCTCCCTGCATGCCCTGATCTGGGCTATGTGCTCCTGAGAACTGCTCTACTACAGCCACTGTCTCTGTCCACTGTAGAAACGGGGTGTTTCTCCTGGCTATTTAAATAATTTGTTGTTCCCTTTTACCCGCCCATCCTCTTGCACTCCCTTTGCCTGCTGGAGTGGTGATGTCATCAGCTCATATGTATGACCTCACGATAATTTCCGCCTGTCGGTCATGGGGTTTGCAGCCAGGGTCCAAAAGCTGTGTTAGTTCCTCTGCAGTGGCTGCATTTTCCACATGCTAATTTTACTCAAAGGAGTTGGATATTTTTTTTGTTATTTCTTATTTGTCTCTTCCAGATGTTTTCAGGCAGGGTTTTTTTTGTTGTTAAACTAATTCCATTCATGTTTTAAAAATTTATGAAAACGCTAATAAAAATGTCAAAGTGGTAAAAATGTTAGCTTTTGCTCTGCTTTGATTAAATTTTGCAAACTGTTTTTGAATATTAAAAAGCAATATTTTTTTTATTCTCTCTCTCTCTCTCTCTGTTTTTCTCCAGAAGTGATTTGAGAGGCTTGTTGCATGGATATCACTCAGTGGGCTCATTTGCACTCCAGAACCTCAGTGCCATGCATCTCTATTAAATAACATAGACAAATTATTCTTTAAAGACACCAAACAAATTGTCACTTCTTCTCTTACATTAAACTGGAAGGAGGAGAGGGATTAGAGAAGGAGAGGGGTGAACACAAAGGATTTTATTACATTTATTCAGTGGGTGGTTATTCAGTGGGTGGCTTTTTTAATTTAATGTATATTTTTTAATAATTGAGAAATCCATCGCAACTGGATTTCTTTAAACTTTTTATTAACAGGTCCATGTAAATTTTTGATTGCTGATTATTCAAATAATTGAACATTCTTCTGATGAAGGAGCGTTTTTATTTCCCTATCAGCATAAATTAGCTAAAAAGAGGACAATTAAGCAGGGCTTGCTACTGTGCCGTATCCCATTGGGATGGATTGTGGAGGGGGAGGAACTTCCAGCTCCTCTCCTCACTCTGTTGGAAGTGAAGAGTGCTTCTCAGCCTCTCCTGGGAATGAGATGCTTCATGCATAAGGTCCTGTTGTTTGGCTGGTGGTGTCCTCCAAAAGGACAGCAAGGTGGAGTAGGTGACGCTGGCCTTGTGGAGGGCACAGACCCTGGGATGTCTTTGCTTTTGACGTGAGCCCATTCCGAGTGTGTGTCCATGTTCCCTGGGTGGTGCTGGCATGTGTAAGTGGAGCCAGACCACCTTCCTGAGGCAGCCACATGTGCAGCTGAAGTGCTGAGCACAGGGACATTCCTG